CTCCTGCCATGTTTTGTGATAGAAATAGCACATCCCATCTTCACTGTCACTTGGTATACTGCGATCATACATTAACAGTCCAAGCGACAGTACGTCTGGTGGGATATCAATCACACTGTAAACCAACTTCTCTTGTTTGAGGGAGGAATATGCAAATTCAGTCAACTTGCTTAGAGAAACAAACATCTCGTCTGGAACATTACCCTTATCAGTGAGGGATATGCCTTTTCTATCACAAGATTTTTTCAAAATACACTCTAACATTTCTTGATATAATTCTGCTAGACAATTAGGTAGATGTCGCTTGTTATCATAGTCTGTCCAAAGGACACAGAGAAAGGAGACATGTAATGGACTGATTATCATTTCATCCAAGCTTTCATTTTCAGAAATTTCCTGATTCAAACTCTCAGCCAATGGAAGCTTATATTGTTTGAAGTATTTCGTAACATAGTCGTAGGAATCCCGTTTGTTAAATCCCCGAATTTGGTAATGAGCATCAATTCCATCTATGTTGCTTTCCATTGGCCTGGTTGTTACAAGAACCGTTGAATTTGGAAACTTTTTCCGTGATATTATTTCTGGAATATCAGAGCTAATCTTTGTATTGAACTCATCAAATCCATCAACGAGTAACAGAAAAGAATGCTGATTTCTATTAATGATTTGTTTTAGATCGTCCCTGTTGATTTTCTCATCATCAGGGAGCTCATTGTAGATATCATCTATCAAATCACCGTTCACATGTCTCATTTCAACTAAATACACTAAATTGAACTGACTCAAAGAACCACGAGCCCAGTCATAAGCCAACTTTTTACAGAAAGTGGACTTCCCTATAGCTGGAGCACCTTTAATTTCAACACGATTAACCTCAATGTCCTTAAATACATCATGCTCATGACTGAGTGTATTGCTTGTGAAAGCACTCAAGGAACCTGTTGACTCGACAACTTCCAGTCTTGTGTAGACCTCTTCTATTGGAAATGTCAAGGTATCATTCCAAGGAAGTGGATAAAACTGTGCAAGCCTTCTACTGTATTTATCTTTCAGAAACTCTATCAAATGTTGTTGGGCTGAAGTATATAAAATATATAAGAACCCTGTTAGTAATAAAACCATGTTATAACAGTGAAAAAATTATGATTGTTGTCAAATTCATTTTTAAATAAAACATATTATAAAAAGCTTAACTGGCATAGGAATTATACTAAAATAGTTGTGTAATAACATACATGGTCTAAATATGACATAGTGGACTCAGGGAAGGGGGGCGTATATCCCTATTTGAAATACAATGTGGGTAGTTATTAAAGTGCATTGGATTACCGCTAAATACACAAGAACACAGCTCACCATCATGAATTTGTTGAAAATGTTGAACTCTGTATCCTAGATTATCCTGTCCAAGTCTCACCAGCTTATCATGCAAGTAACCCGTGTTTACTACTGTGAGATCGCCACGATGTTGCAACTGTTCAAGTAATGTAAATGGTGTCTCACAATCCTCAAGTTCACACTCAGCCTTCAATTTCTGAAACGTTTCTGTAAACAATATTTAACTCATGGTAATATGACATTTGATTGATATAGAGAGATAATACAGTTATATGATAGCTAAAAACATAGAGTACAGGATAACTGAATTAGATTTACACGGGCGTCAATTTAAAAACAGCAACGTGTTTTCAAATGCCATATAAGTAAAGATACCAGAATAGTAGTCACACCAACACGGTCTAAATATAGATATGGTCTAAAAGTTCATTGTCAACGTGTAATAAGCTAGGCAGTTACACTTCGCATAGAAGCAAAACAAAATGAACGTTGGTGATAACCTGTACAAGCCTGACTGATTGGCATTCCGTCCCGCTACGGCTGGTGCCATAGTAGGACATGGGCGTTCCCAAAGAACACTCAGTCTTCCGAAGTTACTTCACTTTATTACTAGTGCGTATTTTGCTGTTATCATTGTAATATTCATGCAAGTTGACCCTTTACCCCATATCTCGATAAGATGGCAAACTTTTTACTTCCAACAGTATTGCGATTATATCTTCTGAATTCTTTGATTGAACACAGCATTTACAGTTCAGTCAAAGTTACAATGGGACTTCCGTTGATACAGTGTAACAATGTCGGCGCTGGAGATCTCTTTTTGGTGCGCAACTTCACCAAAATAAAAGGCATGTTCATTTGAATGCTGCTATTATAAGATTGGTAGGAGGTGATGCATTTGGCGCGAAAGTATTCAAAAATCAGTTTTTTGGCTGTTGCCATGGCAACAGTGGTCCTGGAATCCTTTCAAATGTTACCTCCCAACTAGAGTAAAGTCCTGCCTTCTTGTTGAAGAAGATACATTTGGTGCGAAGCTATTTTAAAAATCAGTTTTTTTGCTGTTGCTATGGCAATGGCGCGCCAATTTTTTTTCCTTGATATTCCCGCCTAACTAGAGCGAGGGTGTGAATGCCTGCAAAGTTTGAGCGAAATCGGCGTAGCCAAAAAAGTCAAAAAAATAATTAATGCGTGGAAAATCACACACAGACACACAAAAGTGATTTTAAGGGAAATCCTAGTGGAGCAGATCGCCAAAAATAATACCAAGTCTTTCCTCACCATCATCAATGTTCTGTGATGCATCAAGCAGCATGCCTTCGAATGCTCGTGTTTCTCGCACTGGGTTTGAATTCCGTGCATTCTCTCGGTCTGCTGTAGGTTCCATGATGAACATCAACTGAATGTTTGCGATCACATGAGAAGATTATCTACTGCATGGTGTGTATAACCCATAAGTCTTCGTGATGAATATTCATGAACAAAATATGAATACAATGGTTCATGAGTAATGCTGTTTCGACAATCTACACCAATCAAAATACCGGGAATATAAAAGTAAATTATACAAAGCTTACTACCAGATTTAACTTGTGAATTTAACTATTCCAGTTCAAATAAATATGCCCCATATTAAAATTGTTTTCCTAATTTTATTTTAATTTTTTTTAAATTTTGGTGTAACGCCTCGTTGTGTTAGATAACAGATTTTAAGTTTTTTATGTAACTGAAAATCTTGTGATACGGAATGTTCCGTATGAAAAAAATCATTATTTGTGGAATTTAAAATTTGTTTTATTATCATTTGACCCATCACCAATAGTTCATTTAGAATGTCTCATATATTAAAACCCATTATTTTATATTGGGAGTCCTCTCAAGAATACTTGATTCTCAAGTATAAGAAAAACCTAATAAATTTAATTTGCGTACTGTAACATTCTGTAAACAGGTAAACAGATGATTTATTTTTTAGTCACGAGGTAGGATTAAACAACAAGTTTCAAAAGTCAAGTGTTTTGCCCTTCCATGGTTGACACTGTTTTATATCCGTACACTAACCCGTCATTCTATTGAGGACCGCAATACCACAGTCAGCTGGCGTGCACGAGATAATAAAGTAAATGCGATCAATTTACAGATATTCACATATGGAGCCTGCATTTCTCAACTTGTTTTTTTATTTAGTTTCAAGCCGTATCCAAGATGGCTGCCACAGTAAATACGGGAAATTAATCGCATTTATTTAATTATCACATCTACGCCTGCTGATTGTGCGTAATAATTGTGAAATACAGTGCAGTGTTGCAATCCTACAGTATTGAAATAAAACACACAATAATTTAAATAACTAAAAACTAAAAATTTACATTCCAGCTCAGCGGCCAATCAACGACGGCCTAACGCTCAGATGACAATTTCGGTTTCAAATACCCCAGGAAAGTGTTCTATGTTCTTCGCGTAATTAGGTGTTCGTATGCAAGGGATTTTTCCACACAAAAACGACGAATTAGGCCGAATTTAGTTATCGGTTGGCTTAATATAACCCCAACGGACCGTATTTTTGTAAAAGATTGGTATTTTTGTCCTGATTTGTAGGAATCTGAAAAACGCGTTTCACAACTTGTCTCTTATTTAGTTTTATGTGTCCTTCAAGATGGCGGCCCCCATGTAGTAAATATCGTATTTATTTTATTATCACGTGTGCGCCAGCTGAATGTGGTGCAACCAATGCCTTAATTAGCGATTTATGCGTGTCTAGTTAATCTGATTCATCGATTTATTGTTATGTCTCAATATTCGCAACCTTATTTCGATTATGTGCAATTTTGTTTCACTCGATGCTTATCACGTGACCGCTATCTCCATGTGTGATGTAATTGACGTGTACAATTGATGTATCGCAACACCTACTTCTGTATTTTTATTGTTCGCTATTATTATGTATTTACATTATACTTGTACATTATTTATACTTTGTAATTTATTTATTTATTTTCTTTTTTATTCATTTTACAGTTGAAACCATTGTCATTGTCACTGCCAATATTATATTGTAATCGACCTCGTATGTCTACTAGATGTGATTAAAGTGATCAATGCGTTGATAGTTGTGTTTTATCCAATCAATTGTGTCGCGTCAATTGTGTCGCGTCGCGTATCTTCAAGTGCCAGTACGGCATCATCAAAGGCAAGAGCAGCAGCCAAGAATGCAGCTTTGAAAGTTAGATTGCAAAGACTGGCCCAGACAGAAGCACTCGAACTGGAGGAGCTCAAATTAAAGCAACAAAGGATACGTTTCGAGCAAGTAACCCAGCTTGCCGAGTCAGAGGCGGAAGAATGGGTATATGAAGCCCTAGAGTCAAACCCAGTCGAAGATGTCACAAAGGGAGAGGAGAAACTGGGATCTCAAGTGCTGTCATTTAAAGACCCATGGTGGTCAGCTCAACCCTCCTTAAGGAATTGTGAATCTTCTTTCTCCACTCGGTGTAAATGATGTGACTTTGCCATCCCCAGCACTACCTTTGACAACATGTCAATCAGGCACTCCTCAGAGCAAACAACAATCCACTCATGTGGAGGAGCAGTTAGTTAACGTCAGCCAACAATCCACCAAGACTGAGTCTAATCAATCAGCAAATGTGATCACTGAAATGGGCAACATAATGTTCAGAAAAGAGCTATTGAGTTCCAGTCTTCCAACTTTCAATGACAGTGCAACTTCTTACAGGGCCTGGAAGGCATTAATGATGAGCACTATAAGTGAGTTAAATGTACCCCCCTCACAAGAGGTAAATCTGATTATGCGATGGTTGGGAAACAGTTCACGAGAACTGGTTACACCACTTCAAAGTATTTATGTAGACAAACCAATCGAAGCTCTGAAACATATATGGAATCTCCTAGACCAAACATATGGTGCAGTAGAGGTGATTGAACAAGATTTTGA